TGTAACTCTAGTACTAACCTTTACTGTAACCTCAAAATGGACCTGCCTTCTAACCCTGGTGCTAACCTAATGCTAACCCCCCCCCCCTCTAACCCTAACAATGACAATAACGTTCTCTGTCACACTAAAGCCAATTTTCAACCTTCACATTAACCTCCATGTAACTCTATTACTCACACTAACCTTTTTGGTAACTTCAACACCAACCATTACCCTTCCTTTAATTCTAACAGTAATCATCCAACAATTCATTCTTGTAATCATAACACATATGGTCATATTAAACTAGTGAACATTTTGTTAGTAGCAACTCACCTAAAGTTGAATTTATACCTTTATTTCAAAAAGGTAAAAAAAAAATATTGCTGTAACTGCTTAAAAGTGCTACTCTGGAGTTCTTATTTATTTGATAGTCAAGTCCATCTAAATTTGCTAATGGAGCCAACACTGCCCTCTCCCCAGGAAGACTATACTGGCATCTAAGGTTGGCTCTGTTGTTCCTCCATAGAGTGCAGACACCCTAAAGCAGGAAGTGTGTTACTGGTTGGATCACCAGATGAAATGAAAGGAAAAAGCTTAAAAAAGAAGACAAATGCAGCCACCACATCAAATGATTGGTAAGCTTCAATGTACACTGCTCAAAAAAAGTAAAGGAACACTTTGAAAACACATCAGATCTCAATGGGAAAAAATCTCATGCTGGATATCTATACTGATATGGACGGGGTAATGTGTTAGGAACGTAAGGATGCCCCATCATTTGATAGAAATTAAAACTATCAACCTACAGACGACTGAATTCAAAGACATCCCGAAAATCAAAGTGAAAAAATGATGCAGAAGACTAGTCCATTTTGCAGAAATTTTATTACAGCAACTCAAAATGGTAGTTTGTATGGCCCCCTCTTGATTGTATACATGCCTGACAACGTCGGGGCATGCTCCTAATGAGATGACGGATGGTGTCCTGGGGTAATTCCTCCCAGATCTGGACCAGGGCATCATTGAGCTCTTGGACAGTCTGAGGTGCAACCTAGCAGCGGCGGATGGACCGACACAGGATATCCCAGAGGTGTTCTATTGGATTTAGGTCAGGCGAGCGTGGGGCCATTCAATGGTATCAATTCCTTCATCCTCCAGGAACTGCCTGTATACTCTCGCCACATGAGGCCAAGCATTTTCATGCACCAGGAGGAACCCAGGACCCACTGCATCAGCATAGGGTCTGACAATGGGTCCAAGGATTTCATCCCAATACCTAATGGCAGTCAGGGTGCCATTGTTTAGCCTGTAGAGGTTTGTGCATTCCTCCATGGATATGCCTCTCCAGACCATCAATGACCCACCATCAAAACGGTCACGCAGAACGATGTTACAGGCAGTATAATGTTCTCCACGGCTTCTCCAGACCCTTTCACATCTGCTCAGGGTGAACCTACCCTTACCTGTGAAAAGTGGCGAACCTTTTAATTCTGGTGTTCAAATGTCAATTGAGCTCTATGGTGCCGGGCAGTGAGCACAGAGCCCACTAGAAGAAGTGGGACCCTCAGGACATCCTCATGAAGTCTGTTTCTGATAGTTTGGTCAGAGACATTAACACCAGTGGCCTGCTGGAGGTAATTTTGTAGGGATCTGGCAGTGCTCATCCTCTTTCTCCTTTCACAAAGAAGCAGATACTTGTCCTGCTGATGGATTAAGGACATTCTACGGCCGGGAGACACAGAAAACCTTCTGGCAATTGTAAGTATTGATGTGCCATCCTGGAGGAGTTGGACTGCCTGTGCAATCTCTGTGGTCCAGGTATGGCCTCATGCTACCAGTAGTGACACTGACCCTAGCCAAATGGAAAACTAGTGAGAAACAGTCAGAAAAGATGAGTAGGGGAAACAATGTCAGTGGCCTCCACCTATAGTGCACTTGTTGTTAATTTCATTGACTTGATGCTATACTCTGATTAAAAAGTGTTCCTTTAATTTTTTTAAAGGAAATGCTTTCATTATACTTGAAACCATTTATCCCCTTTAAATGTAAAGTAAGTAACATAAGAAACAAGACAATGTATAATAAATATATTTAAAACAATAGTGTATAATAGCATCCACCAAATTTAAGGGTTAGTAATATGCAGTATATTGAAATGTTTGCTTTTGAGTTTAGATACGCTTTAAGGCATAAAGGATCAACACAATCAAAAGTAAATTACTGCATGGCCCTTCTATATTTATTTATTATTTCCAAAGACCTTTGTAGCCCTGTATACTCCCCGATGACCAGAATGTGTCAAGTAACAGTGTTTGGAAGTGTCATATGTGACAATTACTTGAATTAAGATTGACATAAGTAAATAAACAACTTCCCAGGATGGCTAATCAAAGACAAGCAAATGCGTCTTTTGAAGGAAGTTCCCTATGGCTTTAAAAGGAAAAATCTACTAACAAATTCAGACTTGTCAGAAAAAGTCGTGAAATTATAAGGTTGCCATTTTATCTTCTTTTATTAAAGTGTATATAAATCCTAACAATGGACTTTGACCTGTTAGCTTTAACATTGAATGTATTTATTATAATATATGTTTACAAATAAATATGCTTCTACTGAATATTCAATGAGGCAATAACTCCCCTTGTTCTCTGCCTCTGGAGTTCGAAGACTTCAAGTGGTGTTATCAGGCCTGCCCAGTTCACTTGGGTGGACTAAATATTCCTATGACATGAAGATGAGTATGGAAGGAGGGGAGAAGGTCTTATGTTGTACCAATTCACTTTCTTTCCTAGGATGCCAATGCTTCAAAATCCATAGATACAATACAGTGAACGAGCATGGTCTCCCCAGGAAAAAATGCAATGTTAATGGTTGGATCCAGGTTAAAATTTTAAAAAATGCCTAAAAATGAAAGATTAGTAAGCAGAAATATATTACTTTTTTTTGTTCTTGGGTTTCAATATTCTATAGGTAAGTATGCCATATGCTATTTGCTACTTTGCTCCAGGAGTGATTTGGTTTAAAAAAGGGCTTTAAAGGACTGAAAACACCCACCAGCAGTATATAATTGCTGCCATATGTGCAGATCTCTATCAGTTTGACTATATAGTTGTGATGTTGTACACATTTATTAATGATTTTTCCAATAAATGAGAGTGTATTTATTGCATTTGTGCTCACAACCCTAATTAATGTTTTGGTGTAGTTTGTTATAGGAATTTGTAAATTAATGAGGAGCTCCAGACCCCCCCCAAAAAAAATGTAAAGTCAGCAGCTAAAAATACTGCAGCTTACTTAATAAAAAGACACTTACCTGTCCAGGGGTACAGCAATATCCTTGCATGAGCCAATTATTCAATTGGCTTTGGGATCCAGGTGCCAGCATCTTGGGTAAGGGAAACTTGCAGTGAAGTTTTGCCAGATGTATCCCAGAAGGCTTCAGGGGGAAGGAGGGGGGTCTAATTTTTGTTCAGATTGCTGCTGCAATCTGACTGAAAGTGGGAGGGGTTGCCTGTCAAAACGAGGTACCCCCCCCCCCCCCAAAACAAAAGTGCAAAATGTGGCAGTGGAGGGGGAAGGGTGCAAATAAGTGGAACTTCCCCTTTTGGGTGAAGTTCTGCTTTAAGTTGTGTATTACCAGAACATTTGAAGGATACTTTAATTATGTGTAAAAGATGTGGGCAATGATCAATGATTATAGTCAAGTCCATCTAAACCTGCTAGAGCATTTAAAGCTGAATTCCAGGAATTCAACAACCTTGTAAAAAGTGAAGGCACTCTATGAGTTAAGTCCAACGAGCTACCTGCCATCTCCTGAGCTTATCCCTTTTATTTATATACAACAGGTTTATTGTGCTCCAGCAGTATAGCTTTCAATGCTCTGGACTCAACTGGTCTCAGCCCCTTCAAATGTAGAGTCGGTGCATCTACTATGCCCACCCCTCCACTACTCCTGTCCAATCACAGAAGTCTTTGTATTGTGTGAACTCATTCACAAAATATAAAGGCTTCTGTGAATGGGCAGCAAAGGGAAGGGGCGGGCATAGCTGCTCTCTGTGCTTCTCTCCTCTTCCACTGACTTTCATGTGGAGTGTATCCTCCGACAGAGCCATAAACTAGTCAGATATAACTAATAGTAATAAGCCTGCAATGTTATAGGCAGCTAGGACTTAACTCATGGTATACCTACACTTTTCACAAAGTTGCTACACTTGTGGAATTCAGCTTTAACTCCATCTCCGCCACCCCCCTCTGCCAATCCCTCCACTGGCTTCCGATTGCGCAACGGATCAAATTTAAAATCCTAACACTGATGTACAAAGCTGTCCACCATACTGCCCCGTACTACATCCCTGACCTAATATCCATGTACCGCCCAACACGCACACTCCGATCCTCACAAGACCTCCTTCTCTCTAGTTCCCTGGTCTCCTCCTCCCATGCCCGCCTCCAGGACTTCTCCAGGGTGTCACCCATCCTCTGGAACTCCCTGCCCCAACCCATCAGATTATCACCTACTCTCCTCTCCTTTAGGCGCACCCTGAAAACCCATCTCTTCAGGGAAGCCTACACCACCCCCTCCTAACCTGCCGACCTCCTCCACTCTTCCTACCACTCCATCCCCCACAGCTATCTCCTCCTGTACCACTATCCCCTCCCCCTGTTTTGCATTGTATTGGTATTGTTCTGTCACATGTGTAATAATGTGTGTCTTGTATGTATTAAATTACACTACACAGTCAAAAGTTTATGGACCCCTGACTACCACACCACACCTATATGAGCTTTTTGGACATCCTATTCTGAACCATGGACCTTAATATACAATTGTTTCCATTTTTGCAGCTACAACAACATCCACTATTCTGGGAAGGCTTTCTGTAGAACTTTGAAGTGTGTCTTCGTGAATTTTAGCTCAGCCAATAAAGCATTTGTGAGGTCAGGTAATTATGTTGGATGAGAAGAACTGTCCTGCAATCAGCTTTCTAATTCATCCTAAGATGTTCAGTAGGGCTGTGAGCAGGGGCAGACTGACCATTGGGAAACTCGGGCACTGCCTGAGGGCCCGGGGTCAGTAGGGGGCCTCATGAGATGTCCCTGGTACCTTTCATAGGCTTTTTTGGGTGTGGTTTGAGTGTGGGCGAGGACATAGGGCCCCATGATCCCCTATTGCCCGGGGGCCCCATGAGTTGTCAGTCCGCCCCTGGCTGTGAGCAGGCCACTTCACCAAACTCATCAAACCATGTCTTTATGGAGCTGGTGGTGCACACAGGGCCACAGTCATGCCAAAACAAAAATTGCTGCCACTAGGTTGAAAGTGCACAATTGTCTAAAATGTATTTGCATGCTGCAGCATTATTATTAATACCTTACACTGGAAACACCTAAAGGGGTGTCCATGGTCAAGTAACATGTATCATGTACCATATTTCAGATTTAGTAATCAAGTTATTCTTTTTCTCCAAGTGCAACAGTTATCTCTAAGGCTTTTCCAGGAATCTTCTTTCAGGCATCTTAATACGCCAATAGCTCTGAGCTTTTCTTCTAACCATCAATAATCTAAACCTAGAGAAATACAGATACAAACTGCAATGCTTTTCTGATCACACACCTAATTATGCAACAGAATGAAACCAAACAATTTGCTACTTTGAACTGTTGACATAACAGTAGTCATTCTCTATAGCACAAAAACTCATACTTGCTTCAGGCCTGTGGATTCAGTGCTATTGCTCTCCCTTGCATTCCCACCATGTGTAAGTTGAAGAACATTAAAAAAAAACAAGTCAGACAAGGAACAACTCAACAAAAATTCAAGAATACCCAAGACAACGTCCTTTGAACTAAATATACTTGACTTGCTGCTGGACCTCTAATTGTCAGGGTTGTAATTCTTGCAAAAAAATTCCTTTGCACATTACTTAAACTGTTAAGAATAATTCATAATTATCATTAGCAGTCAAATTACCAAAAAGTCCTTTTCTCCCCTTTGTTTAATTTAAACCTAATGTCCGCTTATTCTCTCATGAACGGAACCTCGGCATAAATAATTCTACAGCATGCCTAAACATCTCTCTTCACAGTAAGATTCTAATTTGATCTCCAGGGGCTGTACTTGGGAGCTGCATAAAATATTTTCATTTACTCTGGTAGAGCCTGTGCAATCTTACATTTTTAATCTCTCGTTGCCCGGTAATGCCTTCAGAAGAGGTCCTCTGCAAATCATTAAACTTGTTCAATAACACCGTTACAAAACACAAGAGATTTGTCGTTAGTGAAACAAAGAAGTTTTTCTCACAGAAAATAAAATTGGAAGAGATAACTTGAGTTTCTAGGGCAGTTTCACAGATGATTTAATATTTAAGCATTTCCAGAGGAAAACTTAAAAAAAAAAATAGCCTGTCAAATGTTCTTGAAAATCCTATACTTTCAAGTGCTTCCCCATTGTTGATCAAATTATGTTTATTATTTTTTAAGAATTGATTTTAGTGCAAGCTAAATATATAACTACTTTTTTTTCCTGCCAAATCCATATAGAGTTATGTGAGGTTTTCAAAGATGGTAATTCTCAGTTCCAATAAAAGTGAAATGATTGAATCTTTAAGTTACAGGGTTGTATTTGCAAGTATCTGAATGAAGATTTTTTTTTAATTTGCACATATATATATATTATATTAGAAAAGGGGAGTCTAACTTGTTACTTATCACTTCTAATCTTGAACATTGGATTTCCACATCAAATACAGGCTCACAAAATTCCATCATATATAAAACTAAGGAGATGTAATATCCACATTGATGCAAACCTTGTTTACTAAAAATGTGATAAATTATAGCTCATAAGCTGATATTTTGATAGTGTACAGATCATGGGCGGACTGACAACTCATGGGGCCCCCGGACAATAGGGGATCATGGGGCCCCTGTGTCCTTGCCCAAACTCAAAAAAGATACCAGGGGCATCTCATGGGGCCCCCTACTGACCCCGGGCCCTCGGGCAGTCCCAAGTTTCCAAATGTCAGTCCGCCCCTGGAACAGATCAAGAAACAAATACATTTTTCATCAATGTGAACAACGCATCTCCTTTTCATATATATTATACAATATATACAGTAGACGTGTACTACAGGTCAAACATTTTAGAACCCTCCAATTTTTCATGGTTTTTTTTATTTAAAAAGGTAAATTAATTGAAGTTAAGTTACTCAGTTAAATTAAATTAAATCATATTTTTTTAAACAAAATGTAATGCAAAAATGTACTCATAAATAGCCGGACAATCTCCTGCAATTTTTTTACAATGGAAACTAAATATTGTTTAAAATTTTCTTCCCAATACTGCTGCAAAAGTTCCTACAAAGTGTAGATTTCTTTCACCCTTCTGTCTAGCTCATCTCAAATTAGCCTGATGAGGCTTAAAGCAGAACTTCACTCAAAAGGGGAAATTCCTCTCTTCCTCCTCCTCCCCACTCTGCCACATTTGGATTGTGTTTTTAATATGTTTTTTATTATTTGGGGGGGGGTACCTGATTTTGACAGGTACCCACTCCAACTTCCGCATGGATTGCCTAGGTAATCCAAGTGGAAGTTCTTCACCCCCCTCCCTGCCCACTGCCTCTTGGGGCACATCACATGTTCCTGAAGGCTGTAGTACCTTTCACGAAGTGCAGAATGGCCCATGAATGCTGTTAGATAATGAGTTTATGTGAAATCTCTATTAAACAGTGTAAATAATATTGTAATTATGAATATATTTCAGTTAGAGCTGTATCTATCTGGGTGTGCAATATGTCTTCCCATAAATTCCTGTTCTATAGATACTATAGTTGCCAAAGGGAATATTCTTATAATTACACCTTCTTTACTTTATAACAGAAGTCTTTGGGAGAATCCTCTTTCAGACAGTTCAGTGCCAGAGTTAGTTTATCTAACAATGGGAGAGACCTGTTGGCTTCCCAGATATGCACTTCAAAGGAAAGCTCATTTAGATATGCAATGACGGTGGCCAGCTGTTCATGAATACTTAGTTTCCCAGGAAAAGGTCATGAACTGGCATGCTTAAATTCCATAAAGGGTGGACCAGGGGCAGACTGGCAACTCATGGGGCCTCCGGCCAATAGGGGATCATGGGCCCCTGTGTCCTCGCCCACACTAAAACCACACCCAAAACAGCCTATGAAAGGTACCAGGGGCATCTCATGGGGCCCCCTACAGATCCTGGGCCCTGGAGCAGTGCCCGAGTGCCAGAATGGTCAGTCCGCCCCTGGGGTGGGCCAAGATTTGTCTTAAAGGGGTTGGTGTATGCTAAATACAGGGGATTTGAAGTTAGCCAATTATGAAAGGGAATAGACTGGCCAACCAATCAGAGATACTCTATGAAAATTAATGGAAGAGAGGCCTATAACTATGGACACTAGAGAGAGAGAGGTTCTCTTTGGAACACTAGGGGAAGAGAATGGGACTTATATGTCCAGTTCCATGGTAATTATGGAATATACACCTTGCACGTATATCTAAATGTTTGTCTTATGTCTTTTCTGTCTCACTGTTTGTAGTTTGTAATGTTTGAGCTTTCTTAATAGTGTTTCTTTTATGTAACTAGATAGATTGTTTGTGTTAGTTTAGACCTCCATCCTATTCACCAATAAATTTTGGTTGTTGTGTTAAACCTTTCACTTCTGGTTAAGAACTCTTCATTTACCAAATCAAACCAGAGAAATATTATATTTCATAATCTATAGATTTGGTCAGCAATGCACAGTGGGCAGCCAGCTGTGAAGCTGCAAGAAATCACAGCCAGCACCCCACAGTTAAGATGCCGGCACTGGGGACTGAAGACCGATGAAGAAATTAACCTGGGTGAGGACAGCACTGAGTCATTGGGTAAGTGAATGTCTGTTTAATAAAAGTTAGTAGCTACATTTTTTGTAGCTGCTAACAATGTTTACACACCTAACTGAAGAGCAGCTTTAAGGCTGAAGATTATGCTGGCTACTCCATGATTTAAATTCCAATGCAGGGGCGGACTGACAACTCATGGGGCCCCGGGCAATAGGGGATCATGAGACCCCTGTGTCCTTGCCCAAACTCAAAAAAGCCTATGAAAAAGGTACAAGGGGCATCTCATGGGGCCCCCTACTGACCCCGGGCCCTGGGGCAGTGCCCGAGTTTCCAAATGGTCAGTCCACCCCTGGTCCAGTGCTGTTTTTTTTTGGTTCAGGGCCAACACTGAACCCACCACAACAGCCCCAGACCAGCACACTTCTGACTCCATGTTTGACAGTTGGTGTAACACACTGAGAAACAATTCTTTTGCCTACTCTAATACATAATAAAATGCTGCATGATATACTAAAAATTTTCAAAGTTTGATCCATAATGCCTTCATCTAGTCTTCACTAGTCCACTGGTGGTGGTTGCTGGTCCAAACAAGCCTCTATTTCCTTGTTTGCCTTTGTAGTAATGGCTTTCCTAAAGACACTTGACCTGTATGCTTGGCTTACTAAAACTGAAGCACTCAAAAGCTGGTGCAGCTGTGCATGGTAGCCAATCTGTTTCTAACTTCACCTTGTTCAATCAAGCTTTTACAAAAAAAAAAACTGGAGTGGATTGTTTTTTTATGCAGCGTTGCGCCAGATTTTGCATACTCTAGTTTTAGTAAATCAACCCACTGTCTTTGCTTCCCAGTTGAAAGTAAGACCACCTTGCTTTGACAGCTGTTAAGCTATGATTAAAGTGTTTTTTATCTAACACACTTGTACTTAATTATGCTGTATACAAGAATAATATTCAGTGCTCATTAACTTCATTAGCTGACCTGGTGGGGCTTGTAATGTACTATAACTTATACTCATGCTAGGACAGTAACGTAAGTTAGATATTTCCAAAAAGGAAGATATTCAGGTTTTTTTGTGATTCACCTGTCTTGTATAAGTTTACTTACAAGGATAACTCTGTTGTTCACTAAGAACTTAATCCTTCAAAATGTACATTCACTTATAGGAAGTACAAATGAAGGTTATTCAGCAGAGTTTAGAGAATATAGAAAATCATTCTGTCTCCAGTCACATGTATGTGAACTGGTTCGATACTGAAATAAGTGAATAATGAGAAGTCCACGTGCCCCCAATTTGCACATGATTCTATTCAGTTTGGCTCAATTACTAGATTTTTTTTACTCATGCTTGCTCACGGTAAACCCCATGAGTATAGGTAAGGAAATGCTGAAAAAAACTGCTCTAACCTAGATTTGTATTTGTATATACTGGGATGATAAAGCTTAGATTTAACTCATATTGGTCACCATTGGTCATTAAGTAAATAATCACTTTAATTTTCCAATTTTGTAAGTGTTGCAAAGAACAACAAGCTTTTCAATATCTCTAATACATCCCCTTGTAGCCAGCCCCACCAAATCATTTTTTGCTTAAAGTAACATTAAACCCTTAATAAGATAAATCATTTATTTATTTAATTAATTTCATTTGTAAGCATAAACTTGACTGCTTTTTATTATCCTGGTTGGTGCTTTTTTTGCATACAGTTATTGCTTTAGATTTCAATGTAGGGCACTTCTCGGATGCTGAATCTAATAAAGTCAAATACGCTTGTGTTCGCCTGTGTGGGTGACAAGCAGATACCTCTGATGTGATCAGAGAATGATTTTATAAATACATTTGGAAAAATCACTAAAAAACTTATGAAAGAATCACACTGGCAGCCTAGCTGTAGTAAGCATACAGGTGGCACAAACACATAGTGCATTATCCAATTATTAAAAGTATAAAAGGATAAAAAATATGCTCACAAACATAGCATGTGTATAAAGCCTAAAGGGCCATGGAGATGGCAGAGTGTCCGACTGATGGTGCGGTCGGCCTGCTGATGTGTTTCGGGGACGAATCCCTTTCCTCCATGGCCCTTTAGGCTTTATACACATGCTATGTTTGTGAGTATATTTTTTGTCCTTTTATACTTTTAATAAACCTTGGATAATGCATTAGGTGTTTGCACCACTGTATGCTTTTTTTTCCAGTTTGTTGATCTCCCTATCTGAGGAGGGCTGCATCTCCGGAATGTTATCCATAGGCTATTTATGCATCTGATCCACTGGCCTTCCCCTGGCATTGGCTCCCTCAAAGCGCTGGAGAGTTTATACATCTGTTAGCCTAGCTGTTCATGCAGTCTTAGTGGGAATAAGTTTTTTAGACTGACAACATTGCTCCTGCATAGCAGCACAGTGAGATTGTTGACAGAAAGTCCCTAAATGGCAGGATAAACAGAAAAAAAAAAAACAAAAGAAGAAATGGCCTGCATTAGAAAAGCAAGTCCCTTAAAGGTTAAGTTCACCTTTTCAGGCAGAATTTCTCTGTTTACAATATATAGAAGTCTTTTATAATGTCTTTTCTGCTCAAGCCATCCCAATGTGCTTACCTCTCACTTATGTAGTCCATGGCAGCTTTCAATCTTCACCTCTAGATTTAAAATGAAAAAAGAAAAATGCTGTCTGAGACCTGACTTCCTGTATCATCATGTGTCCTTCAAGGAAACTTCATATCCCATCATGCACTGCCTTAATGAATCACAGAATAGGGTATGCTTTACGACTGTGGACCAAACCTATTTCATTACTATACCACCTCTTTTTTTTTCCACCCACTTTTCAACTTCTTACTTTAACCACTTTCTCTCCAGAGGATTTACCCCCCTTCCCGACCATGATCAGGCCATTTTTTGCGATACGGTGCTGCGTTACCTTAACTGACAATTGAACGGTCGTGCAGCACTGTACATAAATTTCCTTTTTTCCCACAAATAGAGATTTCTTTCGTTGGTATTTGATCACTTGTGCATTTTTTATTTTTTGCACTATAAACAAAAATACCAACAATTTTGAAAAAAAAAATCAAACTGTATTTTTAACTTTTTGCTATAAAACATATCCAGTAAAAAAATTTAAATAATCTAATTTTGTCATAAATTTAGGCCAAAATGTATTCTGCTACATGTCTTTGCTAAAAAAAGATCCCAATATATGTAAATTAATAGGTTTACGTGAAAGTTATAGCACCTACAAATGGCAATATATATACTGGATTATTTTGTTTTCTATTCTAGTAACGGCGGCGATCAGTGACTTATAGCAGGACTGTGGTGGGCATTCTGACACTGGGGGGGAACTGACTAACTGCCACTGACATCCCAATGACACTAATACAGTGACCAGTGCTAATAAAGAGCACTGACACTGTACTAATGACTCTGGGTAGGAAGGGATTACCATCTGGGGCGATCAAAGGGTTAACTGTGTGCTGTTTTACTAGGGAAACATGCTGCTGTGTATTTCTCTGCTGTGATGCAGGCTGATGAAGGCTGAAGCAGGTAAAAGTACTAGTGACTATTGTTGCTTGTGGGCTCCCTGCAGCTCATCTTGCACTCTTTCTGGCTTACCATGCCTTGTTCCACTTATATCTGTTTGCAAAGAAGACCATCCAAGTAGAGGAACAAGACTTTATTTCCTTTCGGACCAGCCACCATGATAACCAGTAACCTGAATACCAGTGGGGGTTAATGGGGGGTAAAGAACCAGCAAGAGAGGTAAAAAAAAGCACAGAACCACACAATAAATGAAGCAGAAGCAGGGAAGTCCTTGCACTGCCGGTTCTCAGACACTTATTCCACTCCAGCAAGCCCTCGTAACAACAATAAGCAACACAGTGGTAATATCACCAAATTCCCCCCCCCCCCAACATATTCTCATGAGAATAGTAGTCATCAGAAGTAGGAGTGGGTGGAATATACTTAAATCAGGGGAGTCAGACTCAATTTCTTAGCAGGCCACATCAGAATTATGGTTGCTCTCAAAGGGCTGGTTGTATCTGTAGGACTAGATGTCCAGAGCAGTCTACTCCACTTACATCAGATGTCAAGAGCTTCCCACCATCGGAAGTCAAGAGTCCCCCAACCTCCCTTGCATCACAGTGCATCCCTTTATCTTCTGCTACTGTTGGGAAGATGTTGTGGATGGAGCTTGGAAGCAGAAAGTACAGGGTCTGGAGGAGGACCAGAGGAGGGCTGAAGTCAGCTGCTGGGGTCTTCTGAATGCTGAGGCTAGGGGAGGAGAAAATGAGGGGGTGCTGTGTTTGCAGAGAGAGGTTCAGGATCTGTAGGAGGAGTTCTGTCCTCATCTCTGATGCCGACCGCTGAGACAAGATGAGGGCAAAAACTAGGGAAATTCCGTAGCTGAAGGAGAGGTATGAGAGACATGAAATAGCCCGGCAGGCTGGATTCGGCCCATGGGCCTTATGCATGAGACATGTGCTTTAGATGAGTTTGCAAAGAAGATAACTATAGCTACACAAATAGCAATGCCTAGGTACAATCACAAGACGGGAAATGTATTTCTTTTATTATAAAATCAACTCAAAAGGTAGAATTGGCAGACTTTTCACGGTACTGCTCAGTCACAATTAACCTTTCTAGATGTTCCCTTTAAGGCAGTAAATCTTCCCTTTTAAATTAATATTTTTTTACATCTGCCTCCAATCCAGCTTTAAATCACACAAAAATACATGAAACAGTATGATATGAGAACCAGTCCTACTGAGAGAGCTTCCAGTCTCAGATCAGAAGGAATGGATGCTAGGTGTAAGAGAGAAGACTCACTTTTCACACGTCCATATTTTTATAATAAATATCATGGAATCCCTTTGGTATCTAATTCATAAATCACAACTATCCTAAACCCCCCCCCCCCCCCCCCAAAACAGCTCTACAGCTCTGATATTATGACATCATCCATAACTGTGTCAATGTCATCCATAATTGATGACAATATAAATGGCACATATGGGTATTAGGAGAGCTCCCGCTGTTTGCTCGATCAGATATAACGTGCTGGTAATGGAGAGGCAAAAAAGAAGAATAAAAACACACAACACCACCCGGACACACATACAGTGGGAGATAAATAATGGCAGTATCAAGATATACAGTACATAGCTGTAACATAACAAATATGGGCACGCAGGCTGTTCGCACAGAAATTGACAGTGATATGACTATTGACTGATTGATGCACAACATCTTGTCTTTTTTGGAGTCGATAACTCATTCACACAGGACTATCAAAGACAATCATGGTTTCAATGAGGATCAGATAAAGTGTGAAATGGATTCAGACATTAAGCAGCTCTCCAAGTTTAACTCGTGATTTAAGTACAGCCATTGGCAAAAATGTATTCACTGTGTGATTATCCTACACATTCATCTATCCTCCCCACTGTGCGTTACATAGCATGATTGTGTGACCGATGAGATCCCCTGGTGGTGAACAATGAAGCTTGCACTGTGTTTTATGATTTGATGGATGGCTTCCCCCTGGTGGTCAATAAAAAATTTTCCATTGTGCTTTGTGAATAGATCGAAAGAACCTGCTGGTGGCCAATGATCTTTGCAGTATATCTATGGCAGCAATTCCCAAGCGTTTTGTTGACGTAATCACTATGGCCAAGTATTACAAATATTGGTAAGCAACAGGCTGAACTCCAGACAGATGTAACAGATACACTTTAAGGCACCCTGTAATCGCTAATACACCATTATATGTATTTAATACAAGCAGTGAAAGTACCTGAATTTGTCTCCGTATCAGCCTCTTTCAGTCTACTGAACAGCAGAGCCCAGAGCGGAGGGAGAAACAGCACAAAGCACCAATCAGATGTCCATCAGTGAAGTGAGGTTGCTGATAGGAGGACAAAGCAGAGTGACAGACAGATAAGCTCATCACTAAGCTGCTTCCTATTCCGCAGTCCAGTCCCAGGGTGGGGAGGGAATCTCTAATTAAAAGTGAAACAGCAGCAAAGAAGGATCAGGTTTTCTTCCCTGCTATACAGGGCTGCGCTGAGGAAGAAGAAGGCATGCAGTTTAATACATGTCTCTGAACTGTTTTATCTACTAAAGAATTCTTGTAATTCTTCAAGTGCATAGGCATCATGTTTAGAGAATTTGTCCGATCCAATCGAAAGCCACGCCTCATGGTACAACTGGTGACACTACCTAAAATCCATGGAGAAGTAAGCCTACCAGATATTCAAACATACTACAGGGCGACCCACCTGGCCAGAATTTTCAGCCTGTTCTGTTATAGTTCAGCCTTACATTAGGTGGCCATGAAGTTGGAGGATTCTTCTGACTCAGCTCTGAGCTGGCCTAGATTTTTGTCCTTACTCACACCAGAGCTTGCAGACCATCCTACCTTAGGCAGTATGATTCTTGTTGCCAAAAACCTTTTGTTGCACTCATGTGGCTCCCCTACCGTCCCTTTTTGTTTCAATTTTTGACAATCCCAAGTTCACCCCTGGCATCCAGAATGAACGCTTTTGTTGCCTCTACCTTTGTGGCTACATTTGTTGGATTCTCTGGCACAAGATGGCACCCAGCTTTCCTCCAAAATTACCTGCATCCCTGACCCTCTAGATTTCTGGATGGGGTTACAGATCCATCATTTTCCACATACCCTTCTCAAATGGAAAGGCATATCACAACTTCTCATGGAGTTTGAAACCCTATGCTATAATCATGAACCGACATGCCCTCTATCATGCATGCAGCGTTGCTTTGACCTGACCCCACTTTAATACCTCCCTTCCTGTTAAGGTGGGTATCAGACATGAGCATTCAGTTCACCACCTAGCAATGTGAAAAGATTGTTCATTTCACCCAAAAATTCTCCATTGCCCCCAAGATCTAGAAAACAAGTTATAAGATCCTCACATGGTGATATTGGGTGCCCACTACTCTCCATCGCTGTTTTCCTCAGATCTCGGGTGATTGTTGGAGATGTGGAGGAGATAGGGATCCCATGCTGTATGTGTTTTGGCAGTGCCCCAGAATCAGATCCTTTTGGCAGGAGGTGGTAGATACTAGATACGTAGATACGCATATTAGTGGAAGTACATGACAACCCTGTGGTGTGCCTACTGCACCTATCGGAGAGGCCCATATCAAAGTATAAAGAATCTTTGACGATCCACCTTTTTAATGCGGTGAAGGTGCATAAACAATATGTAAAGTGTTCAAGCAATTCAAAAGAAGATACTATGTTAATGAAAAACAGTAAATCAGTCCACAAAGCTGTGTATCATAAGTCCATCTCCCCAATACGATCACCAATTGAATCCATAAACTTTCTCAATTCAGGGTAATGAGCATGCAAGCTCTCCTCCAAGGCACCTTGTGCTCAAAAAAACCACACTCCCCCAATTCACTGCCACTCACCAGATGAAAATGGGTTATCTATGAAATTATAAGCAATAAGGCTTGTATTCTGCACTCCTTCTGCACTCCTGCTGACAGCGGGTAGAAGTGACACGCACTCAGCAGTGAGCTCTAATGGACAGCGAATGCTCTACAAAAGGAAGGGAAAAGACCAATAGTGTAAGTTCCCTAAAAGCAAATATTTATTCAAACTTCAGTAAAAATGCTACTCACAAACACATGCATTATAGAAATCTCACCAATAATCACAGCGATCTTCTGCAGTGATTTAACCAGATCACCCTAGCTAGCCCAGGCGGAACATCACTTCTTCCGGAGGAGGTCTTCAGTTGCTGTGCTGTCCGACCCTGACATGTTTCGTCAGGTGATGAAATGTATCAGCATCAGAACACACAGCAACCAAAAACCTCCTCACACCCTCTGCCGAAGTGACATTTCGCTCACGGCTTTGTGAGTAGTATTTTTACTGGCGTTTGAATAAATATTTGCTTTTAGCGGAGTCACACTATTGGCCTTTCCTTTTGTGGAGCATTCACTATCCATTAGAGCTCACCGTTGAGTGTGCATCCCTACCCACTGTCAGCAAGTGATATGGAAGGAGTGCACATGTAAGGCGGAGTATTTAAATACAAGTGTTATTGCTTATCATTTCATAGATAAGCCTTTTTGTCTGGTGAGTGTCAGTGAATTAGGGGAGTGTGGTTTTGAGCATGAGGTGTCTTGGAGGATACTTTTCGTGCTCATTACCAGGGCCGTGTATAAGGGGGTACCCCCAGTCCTCCTGTATAGGGCCCAGGCCAGCAGGGGGGCCCAGGCAGCTGGGTGAGTCGGGTGTGGGCATGAAGGGTGATCGGCATGGTAGTGGGGCAATTACTGGAACCGATCTCCTGTATGGCTCTACATCAGCTGAAAGCTGGCTTCTTCTCCTCTCCCTTCTGCTGGCTTTCAGCTGCCGTAGAGAGAGGCATACAGGGGATCTGTTCCAGTAATTGCCCCCCCACCACTTACATAACCTTCCCTGTGCACCATACGTTTCCCCCTGATGCCCAGGCCCACCTTTGTGCCCCCACCCCTGCAGTGCTGCCAG